ATAAGAGTCCCATGTTGGCAACAGTCACATAAGCCTCTAATGATGGCAGGGTTTTTATAATTTGAAATGTAGAGCTGGTTGTTAAAGTTTTGTTGGTTTCCGGACCAACTTGCAACCTAATTTTAAATGTATAACCGACTTTGACTATAATTCTCCCTTTAAATTATATATTTCATTTATATTATATAAAATATTTTTTATTTATCAAACTTAATTTTTGTTTGTCTATAGTATCATTTTACTCAAACCACTAACCCACCATCTAAAAATAAAAATTGTTTCATTTCTAGGTTGACATTAAATTTTGTATTACATTTCCATCATTGATAAAATTATTTCTTATGTATAAAACTTATTTTTTGTTCAATATAATGAATGTACAATATTAGAGATGCACCCAATATTTTATTTTTTATAAATATATAACATTAGATATGTGCCAAAAATTTTCTCTATCTTTTTTTTTATTTTTGTGATTCTTTGTATGTTCTATTATTAAAAATTTTATTATTTAACTATGACATCATTTAATTTCTTGGTAGATTTTGAATTTGGCATTCCATTTTCATCATTAATAAAAATACTTCTTACATTTCATAGTTATTTATTTTAGTTTTTTTATTATTTAATTATGGCATTATTTATTAATCCATTTGACCCCAAATGGTCGAATTGCTTGCCCATTGCTGGAAGGGAAGAATATAATTTTTTTTTCAAATTACTTTTCAAAATATTTATTTTTATACTATTAAAATTAATATTGTGGATTTAATTACAAGATTTTAATGATGAGAAAAATAGATCTTAAATATATGATTTAATGAGAGAGAATAGGAAAATATTTTTATTTCCAATTGCTTTTAAATTTTACATTCTATTTTTATAATTAATAAAAACATTTCTTATTTATCATACTTATTATTGTTTAACATGTATGCTAAAAATGTTCCCATTTTTTTAAATTTCTATTTTTTCATTTTTTCTATTTTTAATTTTATTATTTAATCGTGGCAACATGGATTAACCCATTTGACCCAAAATGATTTAATTTCTTACCACCACTTAAATGAAAACACTATTTTTTCTAGGTAGATTTTAAAAGTATATAAGCTTTTATGTTATTGGAATTATTAATTTATTAAGTATGGATTTAATTAATAGAACTTAATGATGAAAATAAATAAAAATGACTTAAATATCTGATTCAATGAACATGAATGCAAGTTAGTAACTTAAATATTGAATTTAATGAGAGAGAATTGAATGCATTAAATATCTTTAAATTACCTGTTTTCAACTCATTTAATATCAAGAACCGATTACCCTATTTGCCCTCATTTTTTTTATCATTAAATTTAAATATAAAGGAGTAAATATTGTTCTTAAAAATTCTAGAAATATTCTTGAGGTCATTCGTACTTTTTAAAGTAGTATACATAATATAAATATATGATATATAAACATTATATATAATATATCTAAATGGAATGCGTAAAATCATAAATATATAATGAACTCGTTATTTTATAATAAAATAATAAATAAAAGTTTTAAGTTTTAATTTTTAGGGAAGCTATTTGGGCTTTCTAATTGGGTTAAGCCCAAAAGAACCATAGAATGGTCCAAAGTCCCCAAACCGTACTAGAAACCACACCAAACCGTAATAAAACGGTTTGGTTTCCATACCAAAATGGTTTGGTTCAGTTTATAAATTTCTCAAATCGTAATTTACTGGTTTGGTCTAAGATCTTCTCCAAACCGCATCAAACCGGACCGTGAACATCCCTAATCTCTAGCATGTTTAGATTTCCTATAGTAACCACAAATCAGGTCCTTGTCCTCCTTCTTCAGTTCATTTCCACCCTCATCCCCACTTAGCTTAGGCTTCACTGTGCTAACCATAGCTGATTGCTCAAGGCTTAGGTTTCTTATCATCACATTCCTCTTATTCTCCTTTCCATGCACAAAGGTATATGGCATATGCCTGAGAGAGAATTACACTACCTCGGAAAAGAATATGTGGTCGTGCAATGTCATATTTAGGGTTAAGTTCTGATAGAAACTCAAATACCCTATTCTTCTCTACTAGCTTCTAATAAGTTGTTGCATCTTTGCTACTTTCCCAAATCACAGTCTCCAAATGATCCATCTCCTGCCATAAGGTTTTGATGACTGAAAAATAAATTGCAAAGACTTATCTCCCTACTTAGTACCAATCACCTAGTTTCTCAGTTGGTTGACTCTAACAACATTCTCACTCTATGAATAAGTTTTTACTACTCCATCCTAAATCCCCTTAATTGTATTAGCCCATAGAAAGTTTTTACTCTCATCACCGATGACATAAAAAATTATTAAAAGTATTATATAAAATATAATTAATTAATAATTATTTAAAAAGTTAAAATATAAAACAATTGTCTACTCTTATGTGCTTCTATCATTTAACTTTTGCTTAACAAAGCTTGTGCATCGCACTGGTCTCTGCTAGTATATATATAGATTTATGTATGTATATGCCACATCATCATGGTTCGACCCTGGTTGAACCTTTGACTTGTGAACCTCCCGCTTCTCTGGTTCTATGCCCAGTCTGGATCTCTAAACATTGATTAAGACACATAACACATTTGGTAAATGTAGAGAAATGATAAAGGAAACAAACACAATTCTTAGAAACCGAATGTTTTAATATTCATAAATATAAATTTTAATAAATATTTTTAGCATTTATTGACAAATATTCACCAAAAATACAAAATGTTCAAAAGTCAAGAATTAGAATACATGTGTATGACAAGTAATTAGAACATGACATAGTGGTAGATTTGTATCTTTCAACTTAACTAGTTTATATTTTCTTAATTATACTTTTTAATACCCAAAAATGGACACAGGTATTAATGAGAAAAAGTAATTATAGGAGTTGAATATAAAAATTAATGGGAGAATATGAGGAAAGAATGTATTAAAAAAATCTGTGCCAATGGTATTGACTGATATGAAGCCAATACATATCAATAATGTTAATACAAACAGAATAAATTTGAGTTTTGACCATTCCACTCGTGCCACGTATCTATAACTTCATAATCCAATACAAATCTCTAACCTCAATTTGCCTATCTTATTGCATCTGACTCAAATGTGGAGTCGGATGAAAATTTTGAAGGGCAATCAGGAAAGTTTGGACAATCAATTGTTATCTAACGATAACCTCTTCTTATGTTTCAAGGCTTTTACTGATTGGCAACCTCATGAAGAAAATTCTTTTGAATAGAGCAATAAGCTTCAATGCTGAATTGGTGACTGCCTTATTTGTTATAAGTGATTTCTTCGTCGCGCCATCAAGCACCTACCGTCGTGCCACCCAACGACTAGCCCTGTGACATTATTGTGGTAAACATAATGAAGATGATTCCAGTCCCCCCCCCCCCCCCCCNACCTCCTGGAAAAAAAAAACAAATAAATAAATAGATGATCCCATCTTTATGTACTATCAGAAAACATAGTCACTACTATGGAATAGTGGTGTAACTCAGATTGACCTGAGATAACATTTTAAACTGTTTCAGTCTTGGGCTTTCGAATTGGGCCATTAAAAAAGTGAAATTTTGACAAAATTCCAACCCTGCACCCCTGGTCCCCTACTACTACTACTATGAATTAATTCCAAGTTCATGCAAACATGGTGAACTACAGCCTGATATAACAAAAAATCTAAACATTCATCAAAAACATTAATTAACTTTCCTAATTTGGACAATTTGGAAAGAGAAACAAAGACAATCTTTGCAAACTTAAGGCTTAGTTTGGGAAGAGTGCAAATACAGATGGAACCTGTGTAGGAATCGTGCACATTTGCACTCTTCTCAAATGGAGCCTTAATATCCAAATAAAATATTTACATGCAAGAACTGCCAAGCAAATCAGCTTGCATACTTTTTCAAAAGCAAAGCCAATCTGTTGTCAAAGAAGTCAGATTTTGTCTTCACAATACTTGCAGTCATGCACTGGGAACATCTCCCCATGAATGAAAAACATACAAATAAGGTGAATGAAAACATACAAGTAGGGAGATGTTCTCCCTACCCGTAACTGCAAATTTTTTTAAGAACAATGTGAGGACAAAACCTGATACACCCCCTTTATCTTTTTAATAAGTAAAATATATTTCATTAAACAGCAAGGAAAAGAAACACAAACATCAAAACAAACCAAAAAAATCTAACAGGAACCACACATGAATTATAAGAAAGGATAGCCTACTATTACCGATTACTGAACGTGCAATGCAGTGAATATTTGTTTCCAAGTAGAAGGAAAATGCAAATTAAGACCACAATTTTACTTTATTTCCAAATTCCAAGTAAAAACAAAGTTCACTCGTTTAACAAAGGCAAGACACCAGATACTGTACTAATCTCCTTTGGTTCTAAAAATCGTATTCATATATTTTCGAGAGAACTTCAAGAACGTGAATACATTATACATAAACACGCTATGTCAACCTCCACCATAAGGCTGTGTTTGGTTTGACCGTTTAGGACTTTAACTTCCCACATCAGTTGAGCGTTGATGTGGGACTTGAGGTGGACTTTAACCTCCACCATAAAAATATTCATATATTTTCCTACCTTCCCTTTTAAACCAAACACAGCCTAAAGAAAATTCAAGCGGCTCAGCAAGTACTTTAACTTCCCACATCGGTTGAGCGTTGAACGTTTAGGACTTGAGGTGGGGACGACGACCGAATCGATTTTGAACACAAAATCTTGGCCGTTAGGTAAAAGAAAAATGGATAAACTGAATGATTTTTTTTTTTCTTTTGGTTTTTATTATGGATAAAATAATTAAATAATTATAGAGGATTAAGTGATCAACCCGATCTCAGCTTCAGCCGTCGAAGTTCACAACCTCCTTAAGAGTAGATCAATTCAGTTCAGCCACTTCAGTTGTCATAAGACTCATAACGAGAGAGAGAGAGAGAGAGAGAGAGATTATTCCAGAAATTTCAAATCCAGAATCGATGGATGTATTCTCAAGGCACGAATGAAGCCCCATAGTCAGAAAACTTAGAAACAGTCATTGCTGCTTCTAAATTGTCCCGAGGGTTCAAGAATATAGTTCATATGCATTTTATGAGCAAATGCAATTTGGAAAAATAAGAATGGCTGCAGAAGTGACAATAGCACGACTCAATTGTTCCAAAAAATGGAACAAATAAACACTAATTCAAAGGGAATGATCGGAATCCAGAACTCGTATGCCACTATAACCACCGATACTTGCTATGCTGGGCAATCAACCAGTTCGCTTGATGATATGGACGCCACTGTCAGTATCAACAATGTCACTAATCTCACCTACTTTGAGACCAAATGCTGCTTCTTCGAAAGGCTTTTGCATCCGGCCCTTGCCAAAAGGACCTGCAAGAATTGTCACATGGAATTTCAATCAACACCAATTCATGCCAGTGTGTTATATCAAGTCTAAGTATCTTAAAAAATGATTAGGACTAACAATAATAGAGACAGCATATGAAGATTTGGTTCGTGGGAATAGGAGTCTGGAATCGGACTGAGAACAGGCCATTCCGGTTTCAACTGTTTGATTGGGTGGAATCAGAACCCCATTTCCATTCATGGTGGAATGACATTTCCCCATTTGAGAATAGGCCATTCCGGTTCCAACTGTTTGATTGGGTGGAATCAGAATCCCATTTCCATTCATGGTAGAATGGCATTCCCCCATTTGAGGGAATGTCCATTCCCTCTCCCTCCAGCTGATTCCAATTCCCATTCTGATTCCTGTTTGAACCACACAGACTATGGGAATAGACCATTCCAATTCTGACTGCAAACCAAATGGACCTCAGTGTTTAACTCTCTTACCTTTTACACTTAAGTTGCAACGTTAGAAATCGGGGAAAAAAATATGGTGTTTTGGGATTAAAAGCCTGATACCTCCTACGTTTGGAAGTCTAAACTCTTAAGTCTGATACCTCTGACTGAAGTTTCATTGGGATAAGAGCCTTTTTTAATGTTTGAATAGTCTGCTATCAGAGTCTGATTAGTCCCTCATAACGTAGTTATTGGTCTGAGTGGCTATTATAGTTCTTCTATTTGAACATGGGTATGAGCGCTATTCTTGTTATATGAAGTTTTGAGAGAATAAGAGTGAGCAAGACATGTATGCGAAGAACTAACAAGTGATAAGTGGCTATTCAATCACTTGTTAATCAGAGCAAAATTTCAGATATAAGTAGGGCCAACCAGCAGGGATTCCAAATACACTTGGGATAACCACATCTGATTAGTTTCAGATAAGTGGAAATATTTCAGACTTCCAAACCTTCTTCTTTCTTTTCCTTTCTTTTCCTTCCTGAAAGTGGCATCTACTATTTATACGACAGTATTAACAAATCATAGACAGACTATATTGAAAACATACCTACAATAATAAAAAAAGAAAATCAAACTTTCCCATTCACATGCATGGTATCAATATTGGGAGGTTTCAATAACTTAGTTGAGAGTAAAGATGCATTTTGTTATGGTTTGCTTTGTCATGGTGTTTCTTCTCTTGGTTGATTTCTTATCACCTTTTATGTACTCTTTTTATTTTAATGAAAATTTTGTTTTATTATCAAAACAAATCTCAATAAACTGCCAATCTCATTTTCCAGGACACAGACCATGGAGACTGGACAGACACGGTGTTGGTCTGTATTTTCCAATTTCCATGAAATGCACATGCCCTTGGTTTGTCTGCCTTCTTTCAAAGCCTTAACATTAAACAAACCACCTTAGGGATACAAAATTTGAGAGAATGACAAAGGTAGAGGATCAATATATCAGGACAGGGTCAATCCATACAGTGAAGCTGCCAATGTAAAAAAAAAAAACATTAACAAAGAAAAATATGCAAAAATTCTTGTGACTTTTGCCTTCTCTAAAGCCAAAAGTCATGACAGTATGCATTTGGAAAGAAAGCAAATGCTACACCGAAGCAAATTTGCACTCTAGTTCCGTTTTGCAGGCATTTGGTAAGAAAGCATTTTTGTAGCAAAAATGAATGTAAATTTGTTTTTTTCCTGACAATTTTTTGCATTCAAAACAGGTAGATTCCAGTCTTAATTTGTTTTTGTACCCATCTCAGGTAAGATACAAAATTAATCAATGCAAAACCAAACCAAATTTGCATTTTCATGAATCATATATATTTGCATTTGTGTTGAACATATTTGCATTTGCACTCTTACCAAATGCACATGAATCACTTTGTTTTATTAATCTATTTTAGCACTTTCCAGAAAACTGACAACTCATCTGAATTTCTTGTCAATTAAAGGGCATTTAGCCACTACAACTAGGTGCAACAAAAGAATTAGTCAAGCTTGTGTCAGTAAGTCATTAAATCACTTTATGAAACAACGGAAATCATCTATCCTGAACACAATGGGCATGGTAGGGAACTAGGGAGTACAGGTCAACTAAGATAACCCATGGATCATCTCTAAAATTCTCATCCACTATTCACCTAGGCCACTAGTTGCTATTGTAAACCAACCCCCAAACCTACAGAAAAGAGGAAAAAGAAAGGAGTAAACGTGCACACACAGAAAAAGAAATGTTTAGGTATTTTGCTATTTTTATTCTACAAAGCATAGCAAGGTACCAAGGGCATGCAGCAAGTCAGCATTGTCCAGATGAAAACCATGCTGAGTAGGGAGGTTAAAGGAATGACAAAAAATTCATCAATGTTGTCAAATGGTAATGACTCAGTCAAATCGTGGTTCTGAACAAGACATACCATACCAATTGCAATGTTCTAAAATAATAAAAGGAAATGATAAAAGCTAACTGTAACGGCCAGAAGCTCTCATTTATATACATAACAAATAAATGAAAACCACGCTGCACTGCCGAAGTCTTTGAAAAGCCACTAAGAACAGGATAAGATATCTTAAATTAGGGACGTTACCATATAATCCATCAAGGCTGGAAAACTGAGCAGCTCGTCATGTAATACTTGATAAAAGGCCATTAATAACGCAAACACAGAAACCGATTTTCAACCTTGACAGGTCTCATAACCAATAAAAAGAATCCGTCACAGTTAACAACAGTAAGTACACTTTCCAAAATCCAAACCAATCATCAGAAAACCAAGTAGTTGGTTAATATACATTAGTATAACTCAATAACTCATCCCCAGCTATTAACACTCCAAACACCTACTCACATCACATTGAATCAACAACACAGAACAGAATCTATTTGGCTCGACAATAGCCAAACCCTAGATTTCTACTTCCAAGTACAAACAGAATGATATTCAGGTAGAGAAACTCATCAACAAACACTCCATTTAAATAGGAGAAAAAATGAATATCATCCAGAAACCCTATCTTCCTAACCAAACAGTACTTGAATTCAACTACAGTATTCATTTCAGAGTAAAAATATCGAAAGAAAACTATCATAGTCAAAACGTTGAACGAAAATCAAGTCACTATGAAGAAACCCTAACTCACTAACTAAATTTAGTAGTAGTAAAGAAAAACAGAGAGAAAGGGACCTAGATCGCCGCCACGTTTGGCAGAACTGCAATCAGAGTAACGAGAAGCGACGTCCTCGAACTTGGCCTTGCCGGCGACAATATCCTCCCTGAGGGATTTAAGCTGATTGACAGCAGTTTCTCTGGTGGTGTTCTTGATAACGTGGCCATCTGGATCCTTCCACGAAGCCTGCCTTCTGGAGCCTTGGTGCTTAATCAGGATGTGAGAAGCCCTAACCTGATTAGAATCCATCTTCGTCTTCTTCCCGTTCTTATCCCTTCGATCCGACGACGAGACCGAAGTTTTCTTCCGCTTACGATCGATCTCCTCTATCTTTGCAATGACTACTCGATAAATATAGCAATATAAGTGATTTCTCTTTCTCTGGTTTGAACGGGTTAAGGGAGACGGACGACGGGTGAAGTCTTGCTTTCTTTTGAGAATTGAGAATTGAGAATTGAGATTGGGCGCGTAAGACGAGAGATAATAATGAGAATTGAGAATGCAAAGGGATGACAATGACATTAATACATCTGCTAGTGCTTCGCTTTAATGCGTTGACAGCAACATCAAGAGAGTAGTGCTGCTTCAATCGGCATGTTAAGTATTGACACGTGGTCATGAGAAGGAGAACGGGGAACTCAGATGCATCTGATTGCAGCCACGTGGTGGACTTCTTTCTCATTTCCTTCAAACCACCTTGTAACTTCTTGCATATCCCACTGTCTGTGCTCATCTAGTAACTGATTAACTTTTATTCTTGGTTGAGCCTTGTATCGCTTGTCTTCCTAAAGGAATTCCATCTTGCGGCATTGGGCACCTAGCAGACGGATCTTGAAAAACCCATATATTCTTTCAATCATGCAGCTTCCAACTAAAACGTTGTTCATTTTTTTTTCTCTAATTCTTAAAATTTGCTTCCACCAGAGGGACTGCCCACTAGCTGGCTGGTTTTGCTTCAAAAACTGAGGCGTTTCTTAATTATTTTGCTTTTAATTAGTATTTTGGCATTAGAGCTTGATTCCATTCTCCTTTTTAAAACCCAAATCTCCATCCTAAAATATCCCTTTCGCCCTTAATCTCTTCCTCATTTAACATAATTTGAAAAATCTACTGTTTATTCTCCCCTTCCTCTTGACATATAGCGACGAACTAAAAGAGACGGGCGGCGATCTAGATTCCCTCGGAGGCCCGTCTACTACGTGTAGAGCCCATCACGAGATTCCCACGATGGCGAGAAGACTGATTAGTTGCATTGTTCTTCTTAGGTGGAACAAGTGGTGGTCTTGTGGTTTAGAAATGTAACCCATCGCTGAAAATGGGTTTTTCACTATGCTCATTCGGAGCTCAAATCCAAGTAGATCAAGCGACGGTAAGTAGCCTAGTGAGTTTGGAGACATTTGTTGTTCTAAATTGCAGAGAATAACCGAATCCATGAATTTACAATAAAAGCATAAACAAATTTGGAATAACCCTGGACGGTTAGACAGGAAAAACCGGGAATCGGGCACCTTACCGGTTCCGTTTTCCTTCAAAACCGTTTTTTCCTCAAAACTATTGATTTTGGTCAGCAAATCGCTGAAGTGGCCAGTTAACCGTTTAAACGGGTTTTGATCGTTTTCTAAATTTTTAATTTTTTTTATTTATTTTGTCAGAACGGTCGGACCGTTCGAACCGATAACGGACCCTGACCAGTTCGTTTTTAAAAACCATGATTCAAAGAGTGGACAGCGGAGCAGGCAGGGAGTTGCAAGAGTCCCCTTTAATTTACATGGACACCACCATGACTGTCGACGAGGAGGGAAGCCTTCTTGGTGCACATGAAGTAGATTTCGCCATACGTGAAGATGGCAATCGTGTCGGGGAAGTCATAGCTGAGAAGCCAAATGTAGAAGGCGGAGGATGCCAGATGGGGAAGTGTGGTGGAAGGGGAACGAACCATTGGCGAGTGGAGGGAGGGGGTGTGCAGAGCAAGAGAACATTGGAATCACCCCATAGAGATCCATTTCTTTCCTTCCAGTTTGAGTAAAATAACCTCAATCTCTTCTTGAGATCATGCCCACGATCCATTGATGACAGTCGATAAGTGAAGATTGAACATTGAGGGCTTGGAGCGTTCTCTATTCAAAAACCCTGTGTTGTAAACCGACATGGTCGGCGAACAAAAGGGAGAGAGGGGAAATGTCACAGAAACAAGAATTGGTATCACTGTCCCTGAAACCATAACAATGACGATGACGATGCAGATATGTGCCGCAAGGAGGCGGAAGTAGCTTCCTAGCTACTTCTGAACCTTAACCCTGCCAAGCTCATGGAAACACTGGATCCGACAACCGGCGTAATAGTCTTACTCACAGGCGGTGATTCTTACCTGGATTACAAAGGATAATATTGGGTTTTAAAAAAAATGTATACATCACATTAACGGATGCTAAGGGCAAAGATAGAGTTAATCAATTATTAAGAGTGGTTTAAGAGAATACTTAAATTAAATAGAGTTTCAGTTCTCTTTTTGCCAATCCAAAGTTTTCCGAATTGAATATAAGAATTTGAGGCCCATGATTTAAGTTGATGCATGCGTGCATATGACATTGATGACCCTTTGGGTTTTCCACTAGTTGTTCAGATACCAACATGCAATAGAAGATACGTGGGAAACTAACGCAAGTTGTGCTCCCAAGATATATGTCTGGTGGTGACTGGTGGAGAAGATGAAGAACGTTGTTGCAAAAAAGGTTGCCCACGTAAAGAAACTGAAAGCCAATATCACCAATATTGAATTGATCTCAAGAACATCAATCACAATTTACCATCTTCAGCATTAGTTAGTGATGAGGGTAGAACTAACTTCTAGTAAGATCGTGACGTGTGACGACCTCGGCATATTAGTAAGCATCTTATACATTCTCGGCATTAGCCCGGTTTGAGGCACCTTGGCAACGACTGTTATCAGCTCAGCATATGAGCAAAGCTAAGTAAGCAAAAAAGAAGCACATCACGCTGAGACGAGCAAACACACCGGAGCTGAACCATGTGTGTATGAAGACAACCACCATCCCATTTGCCCACTCTTTCAGATGGTGGGCCTCGGGCTTCTTCTATGTACAAGTACAACCTAACGTGGCATGTGAGCCACCTAAATGTGTCCCACTAATCCATCACGTCAGGTGTCTCGCTTGCCTTCACCACGTGTTGGTCGGCACAAGTGCCCTAACCTATATAAAGGTAAATTCCATATCTTAGTAGATACATTGCATTTACTACTCTTTATTTCACCTCATCCTATTACTAACTCAGTGACTTGGACGTTCAAGTCTCAAGCCCGGGATTTCACCACTCATCATATTACTCAGTGACTTGAATGTCTAAGTCTCAAGCCCGGGATATCACCTCAAACTCTCTGATTTATTTTCCCCTGCAGGTCTTCACCTTCCATCCACGCCGATCTACTGTCCAGGTACTAGGGGATTTTGATCGTCTTCAATTACAACATTGCCTCATGAAAATTGAAATCCATTATATCTGCTGATGTACATGTAGTTTATTACCTAGATTAACAATAACAATGTTCGTAATGGAAAGGTAGCTTGTCTTAATGAAATCTGAAATTTTGCGAACCATCAAGGAGACAATGGAAACTGAGCCAGTAGTGAACACGAATTCAGTTATTCAGGTCCATCAAGCTCATGAGCCCTTAGTTGGGCTAAATGAAGGAACGATTCATTTCTCAATCAACTATCATTTGTGGTGGGTTAGTTTCGGAAGCATATTCTGCGACGCCGGGATTCCATCTAGCTAAGCTGCTCAATTCTGAAGATGAATGCAATCCTTGTTGGAAAATGAAAGCTTAGAGCTCATACCTCACTTTATAAGTTCCCAAAAGTCATTTAGGTCCGTTGGAATGAAATTGTCTATTCTTATAGCCTATGGTTTATACAGGAATTAGAATGAGAGTTAAAATCAGTTGGAATGAAATTTTATTCCCAACAGAAGGAGAGGAAATAGTTATTGGGGGAATATCATTCCACCAGAAATGGATGTATCAATTTTCAGGGTGTCTGGTATGTTTAATACAAAGGAAACTGTCTAAGACTCACCATGACTTTCAAGAGAAATGCAGAAAAGTCATGGTAAATTTCAGACAATTTAATTTCCCTCAATACAAAATTTATGGCAAATGGCCATCTTAAATGGTTAAAACCCTTGATAGAGATGATATGATTCAAAGCTTGAAAGCCAAAACAATTTCAATCTGTGAACACCATCCCTTTGAAATCCGGCGATCCAAAACAGTTGCGCATTGATAAACCATGGTTGAGCAAAACTTGAGTTTTCACAGGGTCAATTTTTGTTATAACAGATCAAAGTTGGGGAAGAACACTGCTCCGTCTTCTCATTTTGAGTTAACAGCACACCCTTGCTTTAATGCTTGCAACCCCTCAATGAAAGGTAGACAAACCATTGATGTAAATAAATTCAAAGGATCATTTATCTTGAAAATAAATTCAAAACATCACGACTTTCTTATATTCTTAAATGGCTTGTCCATGTTTCATTCAGGGATGCGGGGGAGTAGTGCGACCGCAACAGATGTGTGCTCAAAGCTCGCTCACTTTCCAGCCAGAGCTAGCTTGTATAAACTGGTTGACATGGTCCCCTTCAAAACTGAGGTCTCTACTCTACTTGCTTGGCCTACAAAAAGTCACAAACCAAAACTGCCAACAATTTTAAGCATCTTCTCAAGGCTTTGCTACTGTAAAAATTGTCCAGAAGTCATAGACCATATTGAGAAAATAAAACATAATTCAAATGGACGCTTCCCCACATGATAGAAAATTATTGTTTCCAAATGAGGGATGATTGAAGGCTTCCCTTGACTATTTTATCTTCTGTTAACAGGCAATAAAATATAAAATTGCCATAACAATGTTTTGGCAAAAAGGCTCACTAACAAAATTGCAGAGCTATAAATGAAGCACAATGGTTCACTGATGCTTTACATGAAGAAAACAATACTAAAAGTCGCTAGCTTAATGCATCATTTGGACCATAGATCAACAATGGGATCATCTCTACTTCAATGATGAGCCTTAGCCTTGGCCTCTGCCTTACTATGAGATTTTGCCTTTGCCTGAGAAAAAGCCAAGGAATATACAAATGAGCACCAAACCGAGCAGCATTTTCGTTTAATTGAATGATATAGAGACTACAAGTTTCAGATATATCTTATATGCAGTGAAGTCAAAATGATAAGTGATGATGACAAGTTGTATACTAATATCATATAATGCCCAAGTGACAGACAATGAAAAACACCAAAACTAGGTGAGTTCTTTACAGCCTCTCCAACTCCAAGCTTTTCTAATTACAACAAAAAGAACCTAGCAATTAGCCTACCCTAGAAATAATAAATCCCCCATCAACTTCTCAATATATCCAGGAAATAATGAAAATTAGATGAGAGGATGCATCAACAAGTAGGCATTTCAATTTTATTTTTCGTAAAATTGATTTTGCTAGATAACCATGGTGTTTTAAGTCTCAACATATGTATATGAATAATTAATTGCATTGGAAATTGGAAAAGTGATATGTTATGACACACAACACAATGCATGATAGTTTGTTATAAATTTAAACGCATGGACACCACAAAGATAAGCTGAGTGAGAACACCCCCCAAATACTGAACCAGAAACGTCTTTTTAACATATCCCCCGACACCCATGCACATAACTCAATGTAAAAAGTGTACAGCCATTTGAAGTTAAACCTGCCCAACCAAATACAATTTTTGGATGTTAAAGCCAAATCGCCTACATGGCACTTATGTGGAATCTAAACAGGAATGCAACACTATGATTCCAAACACCAACTTTGATCATCCAATACTGGCTCCTAAAATCACGTGACCATGCATCCTTAGAAATAAAATCCAAATGGCCTATTAGACTAGGACCATTTGAACACCCCACATCAAAACTACATCGGGCAGAAAACAGTCTAGTTTAACAATTGGTGCATAAACCAACCCAACTCAATAGGGTTAAAATAGATTCGTAACCTAATTTAAGAAAAATTAGAGGATTTCAGTAAAATTTTGGGTGCAAAATATGTCCAGCACCTGTACTAACAAAATAAAAAAGCTTTATATGATATTTCATTTTACTTGGATAAAAGAAACCAGAAACTGATTGTTTCTCTGATATAAATTCAGTAGAAAAAGAAGAGAAAAGAAGGTCACAAACAGAAGAAAAGAGAGAAGAGAAGAAGAGAAGAAGAAAAAGAGAAAAAAGGGTGTGGTTGAATCATTCTGCCACCCCATCAGATTAGTATTATATGTTTGCATCTTAACTGTAGTGGAGTTACATAAATACTCCTACTAAAACAGAAAAAAATATAAAGCAGTATGCCTAGCCTAACTACCATAACTACCATGCAATAAATATAAAAATATTAGTGGGACCACACACACACTAACAACTAACAACTATCTCTACACTCCCCCTCAAGTTGGGAGGAGATATTAGTCATTCCCAACTTGCGTAGATTTGCCTCCAACTTGGTCTTTGTAACCGCCTTAGTGAAGAGATCAGTTAGTTGCATATTTAAGGCAATATATGAAAGATACACTTCTTGAGATGTAACTCTCTCTCGGATAAAGTGTCAGTCCACTTCAATGTGCTTAATTCTGTCATGCTGTATCGGATTATGAGCAATGTTAATTGCAACCTGATTATTGCAATACAACATCAGAGGCTTCTCATATTCAACACCTAGCTCATCAAGTAAAGATCGCAACCATAACACTTGAGCCATTCCATTAGCCATAGATTTGAATTCAACTTCAGCACTGAAGCGAGCAATAACATTTTGTTTCTTACTCCCCTCCAGGAAACAAGATTTCCCCCTACAAAAGCACGATACATAGAGGTAGATCTCCTGTCATCAATACAACCGGCCCAATCAACATCTGTATATGCTTATATTTTCATGTGACCATTATTCTTGAAGAGTATACCTCTCCCAGGGCATCTTTTCAGATAGCAAGTATCCTTTCCACTACAAGAAGGTGGGTGGTCTTGGGAGAATGTATGTACTGGCTAACAACACTGATAGTATAGAAAGTGTCCGGTTGTATTAGGCAAAGATAAAGAAGTTGCTTGAGGGTGTCAATCTCACCAATGTCACTTCTTGTTACTACAATATCAACATAGACAGTAAGCAAGGTCAAAGAAGAATTTGTTTTCTTAATGAAAAGAGTGATCTGATTGAGCTTGAAAATAACCAAATTTTTCTAAGGCTAGTTTAAATCTATCAAACTAGGTTCTTGGGGACTGTTTTAGTCTATATAAAAACCGAGGGGCAACTCCATGTACACCTCCTCTTGTAGATCTCCATTGAGGAATTCATTCTTAACATCCATCTGAACCAGTGGCCATGAGAAATTTGTAGCAATGGATAATAAGACTCTGATAATATTCATCTTGGCTACTGGTGCAAACGTCTCCAAATAACCTATGCCATAAGTTTGTGTGAATCCCTTTGCAACCAATCTGGCCTTATACCTTTCTATGGAGCCATCAACATTATATTTTACGATAAACACCCATCTACACCCAACAGGCTTTTTCCCCTCAGGCTAATCAACCAACTCCCATGTATTGTTTTTAACAAGAGCATCCATTTTTACTTTCATTGCATCTTTCCACTCAGGTACCAATAAAGCTTCTTGCACTGTTATGGGAATAGGAATAGTAGCAATAGAGGCCCGAAAGGATCTATATGATTGTGAAAGTCCACCATAAGAGAGAAATTGAGAGATACAATGAACAGTGGATGAAGTACAACGGTGCTTCCCTTTACGAACTACAATTGGGAGGTCAAGGTCATTTGAAGGTAGGGACTGAGGCTAAGCAGTGTTAGGTATATCATCTGCAATAGTGGGTTCAGTAGTGGAGGTGGTACCTAGATCTGGAGTTGTAGAAAGAATTGGGATCGACCTGGACTATTGAGAACCAAAATCAACCTGCCTCCATCGTCTGTGAAACACCCTCAATTCATTGCACTTCTAACAACCCTCTTCATCATTCTCCCCTTTAGTGACTAGAATAGGTAATGAAACTTCTAGGGCTGAATTACCCAATTCACTACTCTCCCCCTGAGAAGAAACCTTATGATAGTAGGGTACACCCTCAAAGAATGTCACATCCATAGACAAACTGTCTACCAAAAACAAGGTCATAACAGCAGTATCCCTTTTGATTTTGTGCATACCTAAGGAAGATACATTTAACAACTTTCGGGTCAAATTTGGAGAGATGAGGTCCAAGAATTTGAACAAAACAAGTACATCCAAAGGTTTTAAGAGGGATAGTAAACAAATCATTGTCTGGACACAAGAGGTTAAATGGTGTTCTCATGTCTAAAACCCGTGAAGGAATTCTATTAATGAGGTATACATTAGAGTTCAGCATGATGCTTTTGGCTACCTCCAAGATATGTTGGTTTTTTTCTCTCAACAACCCCATTTTGCTGAGGTGTATGAGAACAAGTGCTCTGATGGATGATCCCATAATTAAGGAGATAGTTGTTACATCTCTTTGACTTTCCCACTCAATTGTCTCTAAGTGATCAATTTCATGCCAAAGAGATTTTAAAGTATCAAGTATACCTCTAAGTGATGAGGTATACAGCTACTTGAAATTATTCACTTCACACTTCAGTTCATAAGCCCTAGCAACATAAAGGGGTTGGGAGTATGTCTCTTTCATATTATCCCAAATTTCCTTGGTTGTTTTTGCCCATAAATAATTTCGGCTAATGTGAGGCTGCATTGAATTGCACAGCCATGTCATCACCAAATAGTTCTCTTGAACCCATTTGGCATGTGATGCATCTTCCTTGGTTGGCTTCTTTATATCCCCAGGCACAGCCTAATTTGCCTCTACCTCCAATGGTCATCATGGTTGATTGGGCCCATTCCAAGTAATTAGTTCCATCGAACCTAATAATAGTAATCTGAAAAGAACTTTTGGTCATGCTTCCAGCCCCCAAAAGACCTCCTTAAATCTTTAATTCACTTCCAGCCTTCTCCATTTTATATCACTACTTCAAGAAGAAAATCCCTGAACTCCTCTTTTTATGCAAAAAGAACTTAGATGATTGAAATCAGCCACCCAAAAATCACCCACAGTGAAGACTTATCATTCAGAAATCATTCACAGTCAAGAATCACCACCAAGAAATCACTTCTCAGACTAGAATCATCACCCAAAAACCATTTACAGTTTACTATAATTGTCCAGGAATCAACCACAATCAAAGAACAATTCTGGGAGCAAAGAACTGATCGTAGGGTTTGAAAAATCCCTAGAGAATAGAACAGGGAAAATAGAGATCCGTCAAAAACCCCAAAGAAACAACTAAGGAAGACTGAAATCTGTTAACTGTTGCTTCCAGAGTGGTTTAAACTGCTCTTATTTAAGGTTGGTCTTAATAAAGAGAAGTTCTTTCTCAAAAAGAAACTGATCGCCACTTTCAATCTCCAATTTAAACCCTAAACTTGAACTTACCTATTTTCTTTGATCCTTCCTAATCACCGGGCACTCTCCAAAGATCATGCAATCCCTTGGGCAGAAACTCAAGACTCCAGTAATCCTCCAAGAATCAGGCAATGACGCAGAACTTCCAGTCTTAAAAAGTTCTCATGCAGCCGACTGGATGAAGCTCACATGAGAACCCTAATCTGTCCTAGTTTTGCTCTGATACCAACTTGGATAAAAGAAACCAGAAATTGATTGTTTCTCTGATATAGATTCAATAGAAAAAGAAGAGAAAAGAAGGTCACAAATAGAAGAAAAGAGAGAAGAGAAGAATAGAAGAAGAGAGGAGAAAAAAGGGTGAGGTTCAATCATTTTGCTGCCCCATCAGATTAGTATTTATATGTTTGCATCTTAACTGTAGTGGAGTTACACAAATACCCCTGCTAAAACAGAAATAAATATAAAGCAATATGTCTAGCCTAACTACCATAACTACCATGCAATAAATATAAAAATATTAGTGGGACCACACACACACTAACAACTAACAACTATCACTACAATTTTGGCATCTTCAGGAATCAGGAATTTTATCATTTTCCTCTTTTATTGTTATATACTGGATTCAGACTGTTCCACATGTTCCACCAGTCTTAACAAACTAGCATCAGGTCCAATCATTGTAAAGTCTGACTTATTTGGTTCTATGTAAAAAGAACTTTCTAAAAAAATGTCTGCAACAGATAATAAAGGAGGATTCAAGGCAATCAAACAAGAAACTGATTCTTCATACGGTGCAGAATCTGGAAACTTAAAAACCATCTGAATCATATAATATACCTTCAATCTTGAGAAATCCAATGACTTTACCTGGTCTTATGCCATCTGGATTGTCTGCATTTCAAAAATTGTGATGGAACTTTCACTTACCGTCCAATCGTATGATTATTTATCCAAACCACCATAAAAATGGAAAGCCCTTTAGTTATTGTGGGAAGATTTGCTGCAGGATTCTTTCCCCACTTCAAATCCTTGAGTGGGGAAACCAAGAAAGTTCAAATAATAGGCCCAATTTGGTGTTAATGGTGTGTAATGTTTCGTTTTGGAAATATAATGCACGTTGTTATTTATTCAGGACACATTTTCTGAAATTCAAACAAATATTTAGGCAAATGTTCACCTCCGCTAATGTTTCCAGAAATCTGCACCAAACAAAAAGGCAGATTCTTTCACCCCCCAATCACCTCACATTATCAAACAATACTGTTTGCTCACAGCGGAAATTTCCCAGTTTCTTTTGCGTTAAGCCGCTTAAGTGTACACTGAGTTTAGACAACAAAAGGTCTACCAAAGCCAGCTCCCCCGGTCTTATTGACAAAGCAGTTTCAAAAGCACCACCAGGGAACTGGAAATATTATCCATGAACCATTGCCAACAACAAAACCTTATATTTGTAGCAATCAAGCACCCAAGCTGAACATTTCATTCAAATCTAATCGAAGTAGACTCTATGGACCATTATATGAGATACACAAGAATTCAAGGACGATATATATATATATATATATATTTGCTACCACAATTTATTTGTAACACTAATCCAGATGAAAAATAGAACCCGTTAGCTATATGATTTTCCTTCTTTCTTTTCCCTGTTCTGATTTAGTCGACCAAAAATCCTAGCTAGAAGGTCAAAGCTTACATTCTTCATAATAGTATTAAGGAAAATAAATTCCATAAAAAACCACAAAGTCATTCAAAGGCTTCAAGATATGAAAATCTAATTAGGGTGGCCTGAGCACATTTGCAATTAAAACTCCAATATAATGGGAGGGATCTGAGAGTACCTTAAGATACTTGAGCTTCAGGCTTCCATAGACGACGCCAAAGGTAAAGGCTGAAGCACGAGCCACCTGCAATCGCAGCAAAAGTAATGAGCAAAGGGAAAACTTGAAGAATCGGACGAAAGGCAACAGATTTCTAGGAAGAAGGATAAGAAAAGGCAAAAAGTACAGAGGCTAAAGAGATTACCAGAGCGAGCGTGCTTGTGCCGGAGTAAGGACCAGGAGGTGGCGCCATTGAAGCTTTGATGGTGGGAGTAAAAACGAGTGAGAGAAAGATCTCCAACACAGAAAGATGTGAGCCTCCCTACACCTCCAAGAGAACTCAGCCCTAGATTGATTTGCTTTGCAGCTCCGGAACTGTTTTTGAGCTCTATTTCGCCTCTAGTGAATTACATACATACCCTCATAAAATTTCAAATGGTTATTGTATCCTTGCTAAATATATCATATAAGCTTTACCTAACTGGACGCATAATCACATCAGCGCTTCCCCAGCACGCATCCCACAGCGGCCTCACATGCACATCTCAGCGTGAATTGAGAGAAGAAATCAGCCCCCACGAGATTTCCCCGTAACGTCCCACCACACATTCTCGTCGTGTATCTCCTTATCATAAATCAGAAACGATAATATCATCAATGGGAGATATTCTCAAGAAGGGATGTGTTGTGGGACATTGTGGAGGGCAATGTTGTTGGGGATTCAACTTGTAAATTGAAAACATCTTCCCTACTTTTCATGTGTATACAGTTATGATGGTGTAATCATATGATTTTATGTTTTTAGTGATTATTGTGGTGCTTTGGTGTTAGATATTTGATTGATATGATCTCTTTTGTCTTTTTTTACAAGGCTAATCATTTTAACCCACGTAGTGTCATTGTCACACGGACTTCACACGCATATCTCACCGGTATCACCCATGAATAACAACTTAGAAGTATAGGAGATATTCCCAATGCAAGGTGGGATGTGCAGTTAAAGGTCGTTGTGAGGCACCTTGTATGAGGAGCAGATCCGGTCTCTCAACAGAGATAGATGTAAGTCCTCCTGCTATTTCCACCTACACGGAAAAGATATCATAGCGTGTTAAATACCAAAAAAAAAATTATTTTAATCCACTTGCATCAACCCTAAAATTTTAGGATCAAATTACAGCATCAAGTATCATATTTGGATATGGATATGAATATATTTGAAAAACGCATGGATATTGATGAAAATCTAGAAATATTTGAATACATTAAGTAAATATATATAAATTCTATAAATATATTAATAATATTAAGTTTAATATCAAAATAAGTATAAATAATACATAAATATATATAGGAATTATATATTTTAATAGTATATATGAAGAAATATATTACAATTAATATAGTGAGGTGCATAGATATTATACAATTTTGTTGATAATGTATCAATAAAGAGTCCAAGGCACATATTATATGGATCTTTACAAATTAATACATGTACAAAGTTATTATTAATTTATTATCTATTAACATCCGAGGCACAAAACATATGCAACTATTTGAATTATTATATCATTTTTCTATTTTACTATTTTTAATTTTTAACACTAACAAAAAAAATCAGCTAAAAAATTAATTCTCAAATGCTTGATAAATTAATTCCCAACGACCATCGCCCCCACCCATCACACTGCTACAATCTCGGTGATTGAATGGTTTTGAACTTTCATATGTAAAGAACTTTTTCATTTGCAGGACTAATTTTTATATCTAGTTTTTATTAACAAGATGTATTTGTTCTTTTAGGAAATTGTTAACATGTAGGGTATTGAAGATGTACACTTTGGATTTTGATGAAGACTTTTGGACATTATAGAGTGAAATGATTTTTTTGTTATATTTTTTATTGGTTTTTGAACTATCCATTATGGATCTATGATTTGAAAGTGACAATTGTATATATAAACATTTTATGATAAATTTGTTTTATATGAAAATGGTTTATTTGGTTAAATTTCATAATTATTAGATTTTTTAATTAAATATATAGTATGCATTTGATTTAAAGGGCATGATGAAATTAAGACTTTTTAGTGGCGCTTGTAAATGCCACTAAATCCTAAATGAATAGAATGATTAAGACTTTTTAGTGGCAATTATAAATGCCACTATATAGATAAATATTGTATGACATTTAAAAGTGCCGCTATATAAAAAAATAAATGCTATTATATTATTATTGCTAGCTTTTATGGTAACCTTATCGTGGCACTTATAATTGTCACTATACCAGTTGCTATTTAGTGGCACTACGAATTGCCACTAAATGTGACAATAAATGCCATTATTAAATTTAAAATGGCATTTGAAATCATCACTAAAGGATGAATAAAACGTCACTAAAAATAGTTTTTGTGGGTGTTTATATAAGTGCCATTAAAATTTGGATAAACGCCACTGAAAGTAAGTCTTATTGGCATTTATTTAAGTGCCACTAAAAATCGGATAAATGCCACTAAAACTTTTACCAACTCAGATATCGGTGGCGTAATTTGAAAGTGCCGCAATAGCCTTTAGTGGCATTTTTACCTATCTTTAGCGGCATTTGAAAATGCCGCTAAAAATCACTTTTCTTGTAGTGTCATTCATATTTGATTGGGTAATTTTTCATGTTTGTAAGCCATGGTTTTCTTAAGCCATTTTGGGAAATGCCGCTAAAAATCACTTTTCTTGTAGTGTCATTCATATTTGATTGGGTAATTTTTCATGTTTGTAAGCCATGGTTTTCTTAAGCCATTTTGGGTTTCTTGAGGTTGCTCCCATGCTTTTGGTGATATCTTGTATATGTTTGGCATCCATGTTGTAGATGATGTGTGGGTTGGAAGCACCATTTTTTGAGAAAATTGTGTCTTTTTTTTTTTGTTTGGAGTTGTTGCTGCCAAGTAGGACGTTTCTTGGAGCAACAACAACTTTTTCTGTTTGGTACCAATGCTCCAGGATAAGTTTTCAGCACTGGTACCCATTATCCAGTGCCACATCACTACCACCTCACATCCCTTTTGGCAACAACGAGTTGTAGTTCCAGGAAATGCCAAATTCGGCATTGCATCAAGCCATGCCTTCCTGATTTCCAAGGTGTGGCTTGGAGCACCATTTTTATGGAAAAACAGTTCCAAACAAATGCCCATTTCCTGGAGCACCTTGTTTTCCGACGTGGCATTGATGTGGTGCCGTTTTCTGGAGCAACAGCAATGATGCCAAACAAATGCCTTATCACCTCTTGTTGTATCCATTCCTTTTTTACTTTTAATGAAAATTTTCTCTTTATCCTTCAAAATAATAAAAAAGACAACTAGGTCTTACATTTCTTTTATTTTCTTTTTGTTAGATTATTTGTCAAACTTTTAGAACTTCTCTTTGATAATTATGTTCAATTGTGTATGTGCCACAGTTATTTCCCTACTTGAAGTCCATAGTTTTTCACTTGCAACATTTCTTGTCATGGTTGAATCCTAGGCCCTTGCTTGGTGCAATGGTAAACTCTCTAGCCAAGAAACATGAGAATACTGGTTAGAGTCTGAAAGTGACTACTTTTGTGTAACAAATTCCAAAGGTTGGGTTTATATCCAATCTATCCTTCCCAAGACCCCGGATAGCCACAACCATCATTGGTAATGGCCCTTTTATTGAAATTATAATTTAAATTAGAAAAAATTCCTATTACATCCATGAGAGCACTATCTATCTCATGAATCCTATCTTTGATTTGCCATAGTTATATTGAAACAAGGAACTTTTATCCATAATCTACTATAGTGTTTGTGTAGAAATTCTTATGATATGACAAGTTAACCAAATTGGGTTAATCATATTAAATAAAAAAATTTAAAATATAAATAAATAACAAATATAGAAAAATTGGGCACATCTCTAATGTTATATATATATATATACTAATCATATTAAAGAAACATAAGTGTGATAAATAATAATTATTCTTATTGATGTTGGAATGAAGTATAAATTTAAAACCAATCCAAAAATAAACATTCTTTTTTTGGTGGTGTGTTAACAATTCAACCTTTTGAGTCAAATGTGTCAACCCTTGATATCATAATTAAATAAAAAATGAAAAATTTTAAAAACACAAAAATATTATGTAATAATACAAAATTTTGTAAATAACATTTAGACACCTATCTAATATTTTATATTAATCATATTAGAAAAACAATTGTGATAAATAATAATTGTTTTATTAATGTTGGAAATAAAATATAAAGTTTAAAGTCAACCCAAAAATGAAATTGTGTTCTTGGTGGTAGGTCAACAATCAACCTTTTGAGTCATAAGTGTCAACCATTTACTTAATAATTAAATAATAAAAATTAAAATATATAAAAGTACAAAAAATATGAAAAAGAAAGAAACTCTATAGAAATCATTTTGACACATCTCAAATATTTTATATTAATCATATTAAAAATTAGACACAACAAACAACAATTGTTTTTAACTTTTTATTGATAATGATATAAATTACAAAATTCAAAACTAACCCAAAAGTGAAATTGTTTTCCACTTTGGTGGTAGTGTGTCAACTTGTGAAGTTATAATTAAATAATTAAATTTTAAAAAGATAAAAACACAAAAATATTCAAAAATATATTAAATATGTAGAAATCATTTGGGCATATCTTTATATTAATGAACCATAATAAGTGTGACAAATAAAATTAATTTTTATAGACATAGAAATATACAAAATTGTAGAGAGAGAGAGAGAGAGAGAGATAGAAGAAGAAGAAGAAGAAGAAGAAGAAGAAGAAGAAATAAAACAAATAAAATGAGAAAGAGAAAGGTGGTGGTTCATGAAAGACTCAGTTACGATGATGGAGGAATGAATAGGAGAGAAGAAGAAAAAGAAGATGAAGAAGAAGAGAGGCAGTGGAAGTGATTATGTGGAAAAGTGTTCGATTGCTACCACTAGTTAGAGTCTTTGCTAGAAGAAAAAGAAATGAATAGTGATCTTCTTTTGAAGACGAGTGTAAGCTCTGGGGAACTCATGGCCAGCTCAAAGAAATGGGGTCACCACTCATTTTTTAGAGGAAATGGGCCCTCATTTTCAACATATAAAATTGACTCTAGTGCTTTGATAGTGACTCCATCCTTCACCACGGAAAGCATTGAACCAAAAGATTTTGGGATCCCAAGGATTGGGAGAGGGAAGGCATTAGGCAACCCTCTTTCCAAACTACAATATAAGCCTGTACGGGAACAATTCAGGCTCAAATTCTAACAAAACACCAATGAACATGATCTCTCATAGCTCCTAAAATTTGGCAAAAAAGTTCCCAACTTCACCCAGAATT